GGCTGTTAAATTGTTACTTGGGAAGGATACTATCGGTTGTACGACTTTTCCCCGAAAGTTGTTTTCCCGAATGTAACCTTTTTCCGAATAACATTTCCCTAAAATATTATTGCCGAATGGAACGATTCCCCGAATGTAATGTTTCCCCGAAAATATATCACATATCAATTTCGATTAATATCAAAACAATGTTATTTTCAAGATAATACTGCAGTTTGTTTAATTTTTTAATATTAATTTACGTAATTTCACTTCGTTCGAAGAATTTTTGATTGACTGAATGTGGTATAAATGAGGGACATCTGGTGATTCTTAGCACAATGCATTTTTCAGCTACTCTTCATACTTCAAATGCTTGTCACGTTCCGGTTTTTGTATGTCCCCCGTTGGAATTGTCTTCGTTATCTCCGCGAATCGTGGCTATGGTCAGTTGTGTTTCTTCTTGAAACAGTTACCACACAGGCTGAAAGTGTCTATTTTTCTTAAGTTCCTTTAAATCAAGTCTACACAAGGTGCAGCCCACGGTCCAGATGTGGTCTCTGGATCTCTACATGAGACCTTTCTAGCCAAATATAATCTAGTTTGAACTAATGTTGTGTTGGCAAAAAATTATAAACATTGATCGCGCACGGGCAGGATCTTTTCCTACGTTGTGTTATGTAAATAAAATACACGACTGATTATTTGGCCGTTCTGCCATGACGGAGGCATATGAACTATTGCTTTTATTGATAATGCAAATGTGTGTGTGTCATCCTCTATCCCTCACCCAGCCGGGGGCGTTGGACAAGTAGAACTGCGAATAATTTGATCAAATCTCATGCTCCGTAATGGTGCCCTTTAACGGCGCCGGTGGTGTAGTGGTAAGCGTGATTACCTCTCACCCCAGTAGGCCTGGGTTCAATACCAGTCGGCGCCGCCGGGATGTTCTGAGGCATAACATCTCTGATCACGCCTTCCTTCGGATGGGAAGTAAAGCCGTTGGTCCCCGGTTCATGAGTTGATGGGTCGATAGGTAGGGTCCAGGTGTGGGAGCTGCCTTCCTGGCACGTCGGTAGCATTGGTGCTCAGCACGGAAAACAAGATCGACGGAAAAAACAAAACCAAAGGAAAAAAAAAAAAAAAATGGTGCCCTTTATGTTGTGAAGACTAGTACTTCAAAAAGGGTAACTTTTGAGGCAAGACAGGGTGTCCTCAACAAGTTAAGGGAACAGGATGCACTAGATGTCCACAACAGGTACAGCAAAACATCACATAGACGCCCTTATTCACACTAACTACTCAGGGGGTAGAAGGTCAAGAAGAGCCACCGCCGCCAACTAAAGCTTGAACCGGGTACCTGGGACTCCCAAGATATACCCGCGGCAATGGTCAGCAGACGATGCCCTGTGCGTATTTAGTATGTAATATGTTTTATTTGGATACACAAAATGTTTGAAACCATGCGTCATCTAAACCATAATTTGCATCACCACAAATACATCTTAACAATCTTCAACTGGAAAGTACTCACCAAATCACTTCACCCGGGAGCACATTCCCGATGCTTCCACGCATATTTTTCTCTCCACTCCAACCACACAACAACCAAATATCACTTTTCTTTTTCAAGACACTCCGTGCACAAAGCAATGCACATCGCAAAACACTAACAATAGATCAGCGCCGTGCTCATCACCGCGTAAATAAACAGAAATTAAAATTTTCACTCGCGATGCCACAAATTTTTGGTCCGGGAGAAACAATCAAACCACGCAGCGCCAAATCTTCTGATGCTTGCAATTTTGCAAACATGATGAATCATAGTTGAAGATGCTAATTTCAAATAACAGACTGTAGTGGTAATTTTTATACGATAGATGGAGTAGATGAAAGCATAGAGTTGATAGTTCCGTTAGAGTACGGCAGTGTGAAGATTATATATAGATATTAGAATAGCGAGCTAGGACAGCTAACGGAACTATCAACTCTATGCTTTCATCTACTCCATCTATCGTATAAAAATTACCACTACAGTCTGTTATTTGAAATTAGCATCTTCAACTATGTAAATCGTTGACTTCACGTAGAAGTAATACTAAAAACATATAGTCAAAGTATGATGAATCATATTTTCTTTCTTGATTCTAAAACTTCTCGGAAAGCGAGAAAACCACCACTCACACACGTATAACCGTCCGGGAGGCAGAGTGTCAGCGCTAATCCGGCAAATGCAGCCGAAAACTATGAAAGAGAATGCACGCACAGAACAGAGAGCAAATTTAGACACAACCGTATCCAAAGGCGTTCGAAACTCCGCTTTTATTGACAATGCAATACAATACACTGAAGGGATACATTTATTCCACTACCAGCGGCACCTGTTTCTGTAGTGTGCATCAGTACGGCTGGTAGGGTAGGTACACACTTAGTGGACAGTTGCACAAACAAACATTTATTATTATTGTCAATCCAAAAATATAGTGTAAATGCATTCTATAATTAACTACTTCATTCGAGTAGCTAAAATAACGTTTACGATCTTTCGAACTTCGAAATAAAACAATATTTTAAGATTTTTTCTTCTACACTGAAAACGAAACTAACTCATAGAGTGAGTTAGCTTTATTCATTTGTGAGTCACTTTTACTCATCCGTATGGAGACATTTCTAAAAGCGTAGGTCACTCAGCGCATCACTAACCTACGCTTTTAGAAATTTCTCCATACGAATGATTCACTCTCTGAGTAAGATTCGTTTTCGTTCGTGTAGAACCTCAAGGAAAGTAGCCAAAGTTTGTTTGTTCCATAAAAAAGTAGTAACTTGTGGTTCAGTTTTGTGAAATCGCTAGTATTATACATATTTTTGATTTTCGAATCTTGTTTTTGCTACCCAATAAACAATTTAGAGGACTGCTTTGGACAACATACGAGACTTCAGTGCCAACATTTCAAAGGGGCGTAATTGCATTTGTAAACAATGGTTTTAGTCGTCGATTTCTCGTGAATGAAAGCTCACTCATAAAAATGAATGACACCAGCTGGTAGAGAAATGTTTCCTGTACCAGCTAACATTGGTAATTTGGAAGAGTGGGCTTTTATTTGCGAGAAATCGACGGCTAAAGCCATTGTTTACAAAAGCAATTACGCCCCTTTGAAATGTTGGCACTGACTTGGTTCACTTAACTTTTTGGTAGAAGGACTTTTTCCCACTTGACACTAGGTATTCTGATATTGCACGTTGGCAATAGCACCACAATTTTAACTGTCATAATACCAGCATTTCAAAAGCTTGGCATGAACAAGCTCGCTTCACACAACAGGATTGTCACTCATTTTGCAGGTTCGGTATTATGACTGTTAACAGTTCAGCGAGCTTACAACTTCTGTCACTTCTGAGGATGCACTTTGATTTAAAGAAGACATTTCTGCAAAGACATGCATGCGGAATTTAATGATGCACAGAAGAATAAACAGAAATGTTGTGAATGCGTAGATTTTCTTTAAAAATCTGTTATTATCTGTGTTACATATTTTGTAATATTGTAACATTCCAGAAAAAATGGTAGCATTACTGATCAGAGCTCGTATGCATACTCCTACGAAAAGCGTAAACAAGCTGTCCACGGTGGAATGGTATACTGTATACTGGAGGCATACTACTGAAAAAAAGTGGACATTTTAAGAAAGTAGCAAAATCGCGATGATCATTCTATATTTTATTCCAAATTCTAAAATTCCAACAAGCTCATAGAACTGCCAAAAATGAAGTTAAATTATTGTCATGATCTATAGCAGTGATGGCCAAAGTTTTATTCGCACATGTTGCTTGGATCTCTATGATGCAACAACCTCAGCTTGAATTTCTTTTCGCATTACGAATGTATGGCCAAAATAATTGGGAAATACACAAAATTCAACATAAAATATGACCATCGAACAAAGATTCAGCTATTGAAAAAATAGCCATGAGCACCACTGATCTATAGTCTATAGTATTATTTTTTCCACCAGTTTTTCAGCCATTCTTGGAAGGGGGTGATGAAAGTTTGTATCACTCTTAATAGACTATTACAATATTTTATTTACGACTAATTAAGTGATGTATATATTGCATTTTTTTGAATAACAACTAAACACATTTGTTGGACTTCAAAGAACATCCAAAGGAAAATTTCAAGGTTTCTTACACACAGTTCTACCCATAGGGTTTGAGGCCACTCCGTTCTTCAAATGTCCATGTTAGGCTTGATTCGTACTATTGCTTAATATGAGCTGTCTTTTCAAACTTTTTCAGAACAAAGTTATTGAGTTCATCCAGTATTGTGGAAATAGGTTGATTAAGTACCATTTGCATTGAAAAACTCAGTTTTGACAAAAACTACTATGGGACCGACATGCGAAGAGCGACAGTATATGGGACATAAGTAGCAACCTCGTATTGGTCGGTCTTCGCTATAAACAACGCCTGGAAATCCAATCTACAGATATCCTACAAAAAATCGAAACTTCTCCGGGGAAATACACCATTTGGAGAACCGTATTTCAGGGAAACTGTTTACGGGGAATTGATTTTCGGGGAATAGTCGTACATTCGATACTAGATCACATAACGTAATGTACTTAAGAATTAAGAGCCACGTGCAATGCATCCGGATCTGATCCGTTGCGGCAAATCTGACTGTTAGATAGATTAAACTTTATAGCTTAATCTATCCAACAGTCAGATTTGCCGCAACGGATCAGATCCAGATACATTGTGCGTGTCTCTTAAGAACATACGTAAATTGAGAAAATAGATAATTCCTAATATGCACGAAATTACGGCGCTTCGAGGCAAACTTTTAATGGTGATTTTTAAATAGAGTCAACAGTTATTATCAGCTTTGTTTAAAAGATCTAATTTCTGGTTTATTGTAGTTCGCTAAATGAATGTGCAACTCCTAGAATGTGTCATTAAGATTGAACATATTAATAATTTATCATGATGAAGCTAAAAATCTAGAGTAAATTTCTTTGCAGTGTCTATCGGAAACTGTACAGGAAGCCGGTGCTAAGTCTGAACAAGAATCTGATTCCAAGTCAACCAAACCCGAAGCTGAGGAATCCAAAACAAGCCTAAAATTAACCGGTTTGTCTGGCACTACAAACCCAAACCCTCCCATTCCATCGTCTAGCGTAAAATTCTACCACAGCTGGTGTAACATGAAAACAGCGGAAGAGAAATATCAGTATTTGAAGGTAATGTCATTCGATTAATTATTTTAGTTTAATCTAAAACCCTTTAATTTCATATCGGTACCTAGACGCTGGAAAATGCATCCCTCAACAAACTCTTGGGAGTAAACATGGGCAGTGATATGTTGTCGGACATTCTGCAAGTTCTACAGCAATTCTGTCTACAGGATAAAATATCACCGATGAAGATTCTCAGTGAAGTAGCAAAGAACCCAGAAGCTGGAATACTTTTTATGATGCTGGGAGAAAGAGATAAGTATGGTAAGGTAGCAAATAATAATCATTTTCTGGCTTTTATTGACTCAATATTTTCATTTGTTAGCTTTGATTCAACTGCTGGACCTAATGGAAGAACTGAAGGATGACAAGGATCAAATCCTTGCAATTAGGAAAGGTTTGATTTTCTAATTGCTAGCTGCAGATTAACCTTTACGTACTTAAACTTATTCTTAAACAAATGGCTTTCATTTTCTCAGTATTGGTGCGATTTTGATAATGCAGGATCAAATCAATCAGGAATTCATTCTAGTTTTAGAATTTGTAATAGAACATGCCACGCAGTTGGCATTTTTTTTTAAAACTTGACGTATTTTAATATTCAAAAAAATTTACGGAAATTATTCTCATTCTTCGCACATTCAGAACAAGAATAAATTCGATTGGAATCTGTTTCATGAAAATCGCTGCCGAACTGAAAAATTGCGAGTAATATGAAATATTCTGCAGAGATACAGGTTGAGTGCGTAAGGTTAAGTGAGTGATTTTGTGTTATAACTTTTATTTGTCGATTGAAACTGAACTATTCCTTCCGGCATTGAGTTGGTGCAAGAACTGTTACTATACCATCTTGAATTTTGAGATTGTTATTTTGTTATTGAGAAATTCCTTCCATATAAATATCGTTCATTGAATCCATTGGAATTTGTGGTAAAGACTGATCAAGAGAAAGAAGAAAGACAACTGGTAAATCCCATCATTACCGAACTGTTATTTATTATCCTTGAGAGGTATGTAACGCATATTTCGCCTACAATGTGAGTTAAGCATTAAATTCTGGAACCTTATAAAGCATAGATCGGAGAATTTATGAACGGATGAAATTCATCATAGCCTTTTGCACAGGATCGGATTCTCAAAACAATAAAAAATGGACCCGCGTTTTGAAGTGGGATTATGTTTTGATTTTCCCCGAAAACCAGTCCCCCGAAAACACTTTCCCCGAATGGAACAGTTCCCCGAAAATAATTTCCCCGAATGTACCATTTTCCCGAATCTGCAAATCTTCGCTGGTTAACTACTTGTTCCGAACAATACCACAATAAACATATTAATGTGTGTCGAATAAAGACAATAGGTCAAGCTCCAGAAATCGGTGTAATCGGTGTAATCCTATTTCAGGAGGTTTTGACCTTTACATGTAGTTTTAACGAAAGTCAAACGGTCAAACTATTGTCTTTATTCAACACACATTGATTTCTTCGAGCTCCATACAATTTTAGGTTCACCCTATAAGGAGTCGCCATGTGACTAATACTATATTTTCTTTGAATTTGACGAATGATATATTTTCTTTGTTTGTATGGAGTTTTTTTAACGTTCGCACCTATCCAACACACACACACACACACACATTGCATGCAATTAGCTCCATGGATCATACCAAATTATACGTCAAATAATGAACTATGATTCAAAGAAGGCAAGCCATTTAAAAATGGCCAAAAACTACCAACATTTTAAAAATATCTACTTTTAAACCGCTACATCTCAAAAACGGTGCCACTTAGAAAAACATTACGTGAGTTCTTTTTTGCTATAAATTTGGTGTACTTTCATTATATAAAGTCAAAAAAGTAATTGGACCAAGTTTTGTATATTTTTCTAAAAACATCATAACTTCTTTGTCCATAATTTCTCCATCTTAACCTATAGCGCAATAGATGGCATTTTTTGTCCCTTTTTTGAGAAAAATTGTTTTTAAGATTTTATTTGGAATTAAAAAAAGTTGGGTAATTTTTTTAGAGTGCGTTTTTTTTTTCAAATACTCTCATCTATTACCTGCAATATTGCCGAAGACACCAAACCGATCGGACAAACAGTTTTCGAGTAAAAATTTCCTGAAGGTAAGCTTGATATTTTTCTATATACCATTTTCAAAAATAAGGCTGTATTCAAAATGGCAATATGAAGACGCAAAATGGCATTGTCGGTCATAGACGAGTGCACGGATGGATTTGAGTTCACTCACTCGATAAAAAGTGACACAACAGCGGGCCCTGTTTACTAAAAATGAACACATATGTGTTCATTTTTAGTAAACAGGGCCCCGCTGTTGTGTCACTTTTTGTCGAGTGAGTTAACTCAAATCAGACCCCCTTCACTCGTTGGAATTTATAGAGACAGATAACAGCCAAGGGGGGGAGGGTGGCTGTCAAATACGAACAATCGTCGCCTACCTCGCATAACTGGGATAACTGGTTCCAAACGTAAACAAGCCATAAGCAACCTACAGCGTTTGTTTACGTTTGGAACCAGTTTCATACAAGAATGATCAGTAGGCTGATTTGACAGCACGTCCCCCCCCCCCCCCAGATAACAGCGCCTATAGGTCTTTGACGATACAACGTTGAACTGCAGCGTTGGAAGAAAACACGCACACCATCATCTATACATGTACGAACCCACACCACTGAGCGGAGGGTACAGCGCAAATCAAAAAACGAAGCGGTGTCATCACTCACCGTCATCACACAGCTTCGGCAGCTTTAGTTTACGATTTAATTCGCCGTCATTGAAAAATACCTTCTTTATAAAATAGAAAAATAATCATTATTCCAACGTAATTTTTGAATAGCCAATGCACAGTGGTCCAGAATGCAGATTTAGGTGGAATGATATGTTTTGAGCCTGAAACTGAAACTTTAGACTAAAAGTTTCTTCTACAAAGTTGTTCCTTATAGTTAGGCCCTCATTTTTATGACAATGAAGTCTAGGGTGGTTCCTATTATCATTAAAATCAAAAATCTAACTTTTTTGTTTGAATAAATTAAGGTATACATTCTTGGGCAAAGTTATAGCTGAGCTAATTTCAAGCAACTTTGTTGAATATAACTTTTTTGTATCTCTTAAATTGGCCGATTTAGAGCTATTTTCTGGAATTGAGTTAGGGTGGCTCTTAAAAAAAAACAGTTTTTTTGCTCTAGTTTTCTTATTTCGAATTTCTCAGCAAAGATGTCTTCAAATAACTTTTAGATCTTAAGAAGGCGCAAAACTTTTCCAATGTTTCTGCAAATTTTCAACCAAATAAAAAAAATACAAAAATAAATCGATTTGCGAATTCGTAGAGAATTGCTCTTTAATAAAGTATTCCAATAATAACGCCTTCTTTTAATTTTATAATATACTAGCTAAATTTGCCCGGACTTGCTTGGGATTCAATATTAGCTTGATTTTATGCGCCAATTAATAAAAAAAGCATTCAATATTGTACGTAGCCCCCTCCCCCTCCTATCTGAGGGGCTACCCCCTATGACCTCCACATGCCAAATTTGGTTCCATTTACTTGATTATTTCTTTTTTATTCAGAAATTCCGCGGAGACGAACCAGCGTTCGGCTGAAAGTATCCTTAATAAAGATAACTAACTATGCAGACATTTCTGTTTCATTTGTATGGGAGCCCATCCTTACAGAGGGGAAGGGGTCTCGAACCATCATAAGAACCTTTCCCTGGTCCAAAAACCCCTGCATACAAATTTTCACACCGATCGGCTCAGTGTTTCCAAGTCTATAAGGGTCAGACAGACTGATAAACAGACAGACAGACAGACAGAAATTCATTTATATATATATATATAGATTCATAAGAATGTTTTTAAACATTATTCATAAGGTAAGCGGGCCCCGAGTCATTCTCCACAATAACGACCATGCTTGGCATGCACAGTTGTACACACCAACTGCTCATTTGGTGATAACTTTTCACTCAGATGTTGAAATTTATTTTTCTTTAATTCTTTACTTTAATTCCGAGATGTGTAGTGAGCATTTCTCACCTCATTTTTACAACTCAAAAACAAATACAGTTTACTACTAGCATTAAAATCTACTTTTTTTTTACATATCTATAACAAGGTTACACTCTATTCTATATAGAACTATGTTCCGTCAACGGTGTGCAAAGTTATTAGCAAATGAGCAGTTCGTTACCAAAACTGTGTATGCCAAGCATGATAAAGACCAACAAACCGACATGAATAACCATCATTCCGCGCATCTTTTCCTCCATCTGATTCTAGCCAAACAATAATGGTATGTGAGAGGAAAACAAAACTAAAGTTAAACTGCCAATTGCTTCAAATGCCTGAGATACTATTTATTCAAATAATATGAATCGATATTTGTGATAACAATAGACTAATAACTAGCTTTTTGCTATGTGGTAACTAACAACTTTGTTTTTCGAAATAATCTATTCAATGAAATGCTGTCCAGCATCCATCATATATATTTCAGCACCGCGTTGCGGGCTGGTAGCAAAAACTATGTCGTCCAGATTCTTCCCTTCAGCCTGCGTCAGGTTCGCGTAATAGGCTTTCTTCAAGTAGTTTATATATTGCACACTTTGGTTGACTCCGTCGCAAAGAGCGACAACGCAGCCTCCCCATCTGTATTGGTAGAATTTGGGTAGTCATAATCACATTATATAGGTAGCAATTTACCTACCCTGCTCCTGTTAATCTAGCGCCTACGTTCAGTGTATCAGAAATCTGAACCAATTTGTCCAGATTTGGGTGCGAGCATTCGTACATCGTTTTTAGGCTCTCGTGGGATTGCCTCATTAGTTGCTTCATCAAATGTACCGCATCAGCAGACTGCTGCTTTGCCACTTCAACAAAGGTGTTAACACGTATAGTCTCTAAAAATGAAAACATCGTTGCGATATTAAAATATTCCGCATTTTCATATATTTTTTAAACCTTGAAACACATGTAGCGCTCGTTGGCGTAACTTAAAGATTTGGGCATCTCGTGTATTTGGAGTGAGTAAGTTTTCAACAAAATCAGTCGAATCTATTTCAAATATATTCAACAACTCTTCTCTTGTATATGCCATTTGAGTCAGATAGCTGCTGGTAAGATTTTCCATTTCTTCCAAAGAATAGTTAAGCACCTTCTGAAGGTCGGCAAACCGAAAAATTTCTCGCCAGTTTATCTGCATTTTCTTTGCTAAAAATCTGTCAAATGATCAATGAATTTGCCTAGAAGGAACATGATTGCAGATTTTTATTACCTGCAACCTAGTCGACACTCTACAACCCGCTGGTTAAAATCAGATGTAGCTGCTTTATTGGCCTCTGTCAAACTGTTTGCAATCACAAATACAGCATTCCCCGGAAGATTAATCGGCGTTGCTTTCAATGGGTTCCATTCAATAAATTGCGCACATCCCTGTTTGGCAAGGTAGGCGATAGCTTGATCCATTCCGCCTCCTTGTGTTCCAATGTATCGTTCGCAATCTGCAGAAACCGTTGCTAATGTCTGCTTATTCAGCGGAATCTAGAAGATAATTATAGCAGAAGAAGCAGGCTTATAGTTTCAATCATGATATGTATTTTTGGTTTTGACAATACGTTATGTATGTAAGCTGATCCAAGAACGGAGGCGCTCACGACCGCGCTTGAGCTTGATAAACCAGATGCCGGTGGAATGTTACCCGATAGAACTACCATCATTCCTTTAGGATGGGAAGGTTTTGCAAATTCAAGGATACCTTTCACACCGCATAGGAAGTACTTGTACCATTCGGGGCCTGTTGAGTTGGGTAAATCAATACTGGGGATGAAAAATATATGTTAATTCTTAATAGTTATTACCCAGATATTGGTACACAAAACTTACGTGAACGTGTTGATGTTGCATTTAAAAGACTTGTATTTTGGATCTACATTTTTCAAATGAACCAAATTATCCTCCGATGGCGCAACAGCTAAAATAATAGTTTGCTCGATTGCCATTGGCAGAACCGGGTAGCCGCAGTAATCTACATGTTCTCCGATAATGTTGACTCTGTAAATATCAGGTTTTATCAATGTGTTTTATTTGTTTCACTTAATACTTGAGCAAATTCGGTTTTTAATATATTCTGATGTTGGGCATTAGATAATTATATCTCTGATATAGATTCATTTAACTATTTCAGAACGCCTGGAAATTCAGACCAGGTCGAGGCCGCTTTTATGTGTAAAGATCGCGTTATCAATTGGATAATAATACAGTATTATTTTACCAGAAAATAGCAAATTAATTCACTAAACTGATTTGGACGCTTGAGAGCACAATAATGCAAACCCTGTGCTTTGATCAGAGAGCGTATTAATTGTACTGTATTGTGTATCGTTGTGCCAGGTTTGTCGTGGCACATTTCGAGTATGAGAAGGTGATTGCAGTTTGCTCAAAAGTGCCTGAGTAAAATGCAAGTACTTTCGATGATTACCCAAATTAGCGATAGTGAAGCTGTATATCCATATTCTCGTTTATGTCCGGGCGTGTTTGCCACACAGAAATCTTTTTATTTGATTTTATGTGGGGATAGGTTTCGGGTGTGGACGGGCATATGGGTGATAATGTGAAGTTTACGTTAGGATAAAGTTGAAACATTCAGTGTTCACTCGGCTGTCGACATTGTTCTTCATCAGCCTCATTGTTCTTCATCAGCAGTTCTTTCGGTCGATGCCTCAGTGAATGCCGAGTGAGTATGTCGACGAAATCTAATTCAAGAGACACATGTGAAAAGGGCAATAAACCTTTGTAGGCCCTCTTCTCGCCAACCGAGGGTCGCCCACGCAAACTAATAACATCATCGGGAAGGGAAAAGCTTCCCTTATCCGGTGATGTTGATGGTTTGCGTAGGTGTCATATGGGTGGCGAGAAAAGGGCATAAAAAGGTTTGTTTACAAAAAGCTTGTATGCCCTTTTCACATGTTGTTCTTGAATTCTGCATTTCAACACCTTTGCCTCTCCTTTCTCTCATCCTTCACCTATGATTCCCGCCAAAGGTTCTGAGCTAGGCTCTGAGCCACACTCAGATTTTTTTTCACTTGGATATTAAATGAAAACATGCATAGATTTTTTTTTTCATCTAGTTTTTCACGTTTTTCATATGTAGATCGGTTCAAAAGATTTAATTTAAATCCACATATAGCTCTAATAGGTAGTATAGGCCTTTTGAAGTGACTTTCACTTTATTTTCATGTAGCATCTAAGTGAAAATTATTCAAAGCAAAAATATCTTTACCCAATCCACTAGAAAGAAATATAGATTTTATGGTACTTTCTAAGTGAATTTTATTGTATTTTCACTTGAATTTTAGTAAATTTCTTCGTAGCATGCACATTGTTGTTAGGTGTTCTAAAATTGTTTTTCAAAACCATAAAAATAACTGTAAACCAGATTTGATGTCAAAGATATTTGTTTATTTATTTTATTGTTTATTTTTATATTTTAATACTAATGGCTTCCGATAACTCGCCCACTACAGCCCTTTGAATAATATATTTTCCATCTTCTGTAGTCAAGACTCAAGAGTAACTCGTCGTCAAGAGTAGTGTATCAGGAGGTATCTGCCGCTACCACTAATTGGGATTCCACGGCACCTGCTTGGATGTCTTGTTTTTGTTTAGATAAACTGAAACTACGTACCTTCATTGAAATTGAATTCAAACTCGTCGATTCCACGATCTATTGAAGATATTATTAATAAATTATGCATCGTGTCGAAAAGAAAACAACTTACTTGTCAGAAAATCAAGTAATTCCAATAGAATTTGCAAATCCAGCAGCAGCTCGTCAGCAATGCACTCGCCATGTTAGATTTTGTTTGTGTCATCACCACTTAGAAATTTTCACACTATAAATCCATGTAGAATCTAAGTGAATTTATGTTACATGAATATTACTTGAAATTTATCTTAATTGTTTTTAAGTTTCAAAGCTTATTACATTGCATTTAATATGGTTTGTAATGAATGTTATTAACGTCATGTGCATGTCCGATTATTTTCAATATGTGAAGGTTACGTATTATTTTTCTAGTGAAATTTACGTGACAAATTTTTTGAGTGCAGGACTGCTCGAGCCTCCATGACTCTAAAGTTTGTTTACATTCATGTTTCGCCAAAGTATGTTTTACTGTAATAGAAAACTCAGCTGAGTGACAAAAACTATGCTGGATTTTATACTTTCAACATTGAGCCTGTTGGTTTTAGTCTTTAAGCTTAAATTGATAATGTGTTATGAAAAAGAATGGATCATTTTTATGAGATTACAATGCTTGACGATGGATAAGAACAGTAACTGCAATTATTGCTTCTAAAGGCTCAAACGTAATGTGGGCGGAAGCGGAACGGAAACGGAAAGTTTGACAGTTGTCACAAATGCCATCAATATGCCTAACCGAAGTCGATTTGATTCTAATTAGTTTTCAATCCGGCAAGTAGACTTACTCTTCTTCTTCTTCTTTTCACCCTTTAGTGGCAAGTCCACTGTTGACGGACTACACTGCCAAGTTATGTCAAGTCGTGAAGTTTTTATTGGGCATCATTCGCCTCTTTCTCTGTTTTGACGTAAACGGTTTGTACCGTTTTTACAGGGTTTATTATGGTTGACAGTGCACCAATCATATGGACTGGTGTTTGTTTATGAATTTAGATTGAAAAAAACCCTCATACGCTGTGTATCAAATTTGAATTTTGTTTATTTTAATGAATTTTGCTATTTCTCGGTATGTATTTGTTCCGGCGTTCTCAAGCAAGTCATCAGTGTTATCGTTAGCAAGCAAGCAGTTGAATTTATATCTATTTTCAATGTATTTAGTGCAAATAAAAAGGACGTGGTTGATATCTTCCTTGACCCCACATTCGTCACAATTTTCATTACTTATGAGTTTCCATTGGTAAAGTTTTTCTTTCGTCATCGTGTGAAATGTCCTTAGTCTTCCTATGTTAATGATTTCGTGTGTTTCCAGGCCTATGTTGTAAAACCAGGGCTTAAGTGTAGGGATTGGATAAATTTTAAAGTGGCGAAGACCCTTGTCTTTAGACAATTCTGTGTATAGAGAAATCCATTCATTTAGTGATTCTCCTTTAGCTAAATTAAATGCGTCTGTTAGTGGTATTTTGGAATAAATCGCATTTGTGCTAGTACAGCCTTTTTTCGAAAGATTATCAGCTTTTTCATTTCCGATTATGCCCTTGTGTCCTGGAATCCATTGGAGGGATATTTGTTTCGTAGAGTTTTTTAGTTTGTTAGACTTACTCAGATCGGGCTTTTCCGCTGCCGCTGCCGTTCCGCTTCCGCTGTCATTGCGCTTGGGCCTTAAATGTTGGGCTACCGTTTGACAGTTTACACTGGCTCCCAAGTGATGCACAATGAGTGAGTCCGCAGCGATGTGCGGTATAAGATGTGAGGAGAAGGGAAGCTGGTGCAATGACATTTATATAAGGTCTGGGCCAACAGGCAGCTTGCTGGTGTTAGAAGCAAAAATGTTGTAAACATTGCTGAACATCTCCGAACAGATAGAAATACGTCACTGCCAACATACTGAGAACAGATAGAAATATGTCACTGCCAACAGCTGTTTCGTGTAAAAAGATAAACACTGCAATAAAATACGAACACCACTAAACATTTGCACATTTCACTAACACCAATAAGTCCTTTGGCCCAGACCTTATATAAACGCCATTGAAGCTGGTGGACTCTTTCGTTCTCGCGTCTTCTTATGCAGCAACAGACGTGACGTCACGTCTGCTGTTGCATAAGAACACCGTCAGAATGAAAGAGTCCACTAGTTTCCTTTCTCCTCACCTCTTATACCGCACATCGAGTCCGCAGTACTCAGGTTGTACCTACCTAATAATTTAAACTAGTTAATTTGATAACCTAACTAACCGTCCCAAAATTTAAAATGTCTTCCATGTTTATGAAGACAAGTCCTTGCATCTGACATCTCAGGCAGCCAGCAATAACCGAATGTTACCACCTGTTGTAAAGTATGTCCTTCTATCTCTCATATTATAATCTATTATGGTATATTCACATCTGAGCATGCATTAGCGGCGCCGAGCAAAATTTGCGTTGGTATGAGAGATAACTAGTACTTCTCTCCCTCTCGTACCTTCGCAAAATCTCGCCCTGCATGTGAAATATCGGAACGGAATCCACCTTTATTTAATCAACCATATTATCGTTTACGTTCGAAAAGTATTTAACATACAAAACCTTTTTTTATACTAATTCTCAATCATCCATATTCTCGTTTTCGTTCGAATCGTATTTTCCAAAAAAAAAAAAAAATTGTTTTTGTATGGAAAATACAGTTTGAACGAAAACAAGAATAAAGGTGAATATCTTAGACTTTGTACTCACCTTCCACTGCAACGCACAAAAAAAGCCGGATTTCGGTTGAATGCGCTTATGAAGTGAGCTTTCAGCTGAGACACCCGACTACTATCCGGAATTGTTTCTAGCACATGTACGAAGGTGTCGTCTGTGTTGTCCATTCTTGACGTGGATTTCGAGCAGCAAAGAGAAATGAAAACGTAAACAAAATTATCGACGAATAATGAATTCTCTCAGCGGCTTGTATTTTTCTGCTTCTATCAAAACGCTCCGCACAACCGGCCAACGCAAACAACACTAAATTGAGTTTAAATGCTGCCTCGAGAACGAGCTAGTTAAATTCTTATCATTGCACCGAGACATTCGAGACACAATAACACAATAAAAAAACTCTGATAACACCGTCAGTCCATACCAGCTGGCTTCAAGTGCGAACTCTAGCACAGTGTTTTATCAACTGGTTTTCCTGGTGATGTGCTAGCTACTGCTATTATTTATCCACTGACTAAAGGAGAGATGAGCGTGCCATGTAGGAGTATAGGGGAGCGCGGCTTGCGTTGTTACATCGTTATATTTTATTAAAATTTAGCTAAATCCTATTATATTATATTATTATGTAACACTTTTTGTTTTGTTAATAAGCTCCCATATTCTTGTTTTCGTTCGAACCGCTCGAAGCATACAACAATCTTTTTTATGGTTCGAACTAGTAATCCTATATAGTATTACTAGTTCGAACAGTTCAAACGAAAACAGGATATGGGTGTAGATTTTTTGCTATTCAAGTAAAAATCGACCAACAAGAAATTAGTTTATGCTGACGTCACGGGTAGAGCAGCAAAAGATAGGCCGTCGCCAGAAAGTATAGGTAAGTTTAAAGATATCAGCTAGTCCGAATAAAAATGTATCATACAAAAAAAAAAGGACCCTATTTTCACAATTCATCAATATCTATTGTAGCTGTCATACATTTTATTGTCACGAACAGTTAAACTACAATAGAACTTATTGTTTTGCACATTAGAAACTATTGTAAATAAGACTTTTACAAAAGAAAAGAGTGCCCGAATAAAAAAAAAAACCATACAAAAACAATAGAACCTATTGTTACAATACAATAAAACCTATTGTAGCAACACAAAATGTTATTGTCAAAAACAATAAAAAGAACTTATTTTTTTCCTTGGTTTGTTTTCCGTCGATCTTGTTTTCCGTGCTGAGCACCAATGCTACCGACGCCAGGGAGGCAGCTCCCGAGGCAGCTCCCGAGGCAGCTCCCACACCTGGACCCTACCTTTCGACCCATCAACTCATGAACCGGGGACCAACGGCTTAACTTCCCTTCCGAAGGAAGACATGATCAGAGATGTTATGCCTCAGAACATCCCGGTGGCGCCGATTGGGATTGAACCCAGACTGCTGGGGTGAGAGGTAATCACGCTTACCACTACACCACCGGCGCCGCTAATAAAACTTATTGTTATGTACAATCTAATCTATTGTACATGACATTTACAATATAAGGGGTTTTTAGTTACCGTTACTATACCTAAAATCTTTTTTTTTCTCGATCAAATTTGCTCTTATTATTTTTTTTATTGTTCAATATTATTTTGATAACTTAAAATTTATTGTTAACCTCTTTGGTGACTATTTGATCATTTTACCAATACAATACAATAACGATAGGGTTAATTTTCAACAATAAAATCTATTGATATTTTATTGTAATTTGATGGTTATTTTTATCCGCTTATTTATAACAAAAAAACATTTTTGGTCTCATAACAATAGAAATGTCGAATTTTTTGATAACATAGTATGTATTGTAATCCTACTGTGGTGATAATTATGATCATCAAATGACAAATTTTGTCCAATACAATACAACTGCAATTGGGTTAATTGTGAATAACAGAATGTTTTATATTTTATTGTCATTGTATAGTAATTTTTAATCGGCCTGGGCTATATTCCGTTCGTTAGATGCTACGCCAGTTCAAATGAATAAACATTAGTGGTAGGAAATAGCATGTAAATGTTAATGGTAAAAAATGTATTGATACAATTTGTTAATCGTAAAAAATGCTATAAATGTTAGTGGTAAAAAATGTAGAAAATATAAAGGTTATTGTTCGGTTCAGTCCATAATCATCCCAAACGCCATCACCAACATAAAATATATATAATATTTGCATCAGCCTTATATGAATTCCATAAGCGCGACTTATCTCATTACGAGGTCGTTTCTATTCGCCTTTAGCCATTCAATTTCTCAAACGTTGATAGACATGAGCAAAATTCTCTTTTTCTAGGGTCGGCACAATACTTACCCGGAGTAGACTCATTTACCAAACAAAGTGGACTTAAACACGAAAAGAGAACAATAGGTATATAGATTCATGAAAAAAGACTCAGATAGAAAAGTAAAAAAGTTTACACACCTGGGAACGATTGGGATGGGTTTTAAGGAAACCGTTGCAGCCGATGCGGCGACCGTTGGTACCCTTAGAAAATCAGAGAGTAAGCATATGGTTAGGAACATATCTATCAGCTGCATGCTGTTGCTGGGTACGCTCGCGGGCGGTCGTGATAATAAGGTGCTCACGGAAGGGAGGAGAACCACATCGGTTCAACCACAAGCAAGAGGGGACGAACCCTCCGGACCTTTCTGGGCTGTGACTTCCTTTCTATCGTCGGCGACGTTAGATTCCTGGATGTGGTCGTAAACACCGGGTTTGACTCATTGCAAATTTCGGGGCTTGACTGTTCCCAGTGGAATTCGGAGCTTAGATATTCCTTACCGCTGGGGCACATCGTGTCTCACTGGGGTGCCACGTGTCTTATTGGAGTACTTCAAACACGGAACTTCGTCGGTCGGTCTCACTTCTGACACGAGAGATATTCATATACGACGTCCACGGTAGTGTACTTCGGAACTTTTCACAAAGGCTGGAAAGCGAAAGGATCAAAGGAACTTCGCGACTTTCCAACCTCCGATACACTCTTCGGAAAAAGCTTCACTGATCGCAGCACCACGCTTCACTGGATAAGCAGCACCACGCGGTTTTTAGCACTGTTATACTGTTCGTTCTTCTAATTCGATTACGTGTGTGCACTCTTCGAACGTCCAGTTACTAATCCCTACAGATACATCTCCCAGCTTCGCCTAGAGTCCTCTTTCTGCACTCACTCTCCCAACTCTCATATCCCGGAAACAGTGAAACGGGATTTCATGACATTTTAGATGAAGAGCTTTGAGTGTGTTGGTTTATTTCCTTTCACTTGGCACTGATGAAGTCTGCAAGTAGTAGACGAAATACGCGTATCTGTCAAAAGATAAGCAATTATAACGGAATTTATATGAAATAAACCAACACTCAAAGCTCTTCATAAAGGGATACCGTTAACAGGTTCGACAAATTTAAAAGATTTATAATTGTGGTGTGTAATGTAGCCGTTTCTTCACGATGACCATGGGAGTACGACAATTTAGTTTTTGTCAATCTGTCCTTTATGTGTTTTTGTATTATACCTACTAATAATTTAAACAAATATGTGCAAATTAAATCTACAAACATATAAAACGAATCCCATGTAGGAAACATAACACATAATTTCTTAAGACTAATTAGCAATATTTACATTTTTGTATGCTTCAAATTATGGATAATTTTACAAGTTTTATGAGCCATTCAAATCAAACTGTGTTTTTTATGACTGGTTTTAAACCAGTAAAAGTTTCAGTTATGATTTTCATAATAAATCCTTGTAGCGATAAATCATAAGTGATTGTGGAGTTCTTAATTGTTTTGCCTCAGTGTAGCCTTTCGGTATACCTAGGTAATTTTAAGTATTTTCCAAATGTTTAAAATAAACTACGGATTTTTTCCCTATTAGTTTATTTGTTAGGCTCAAATATGCAAAGGACTAAACGTAGCCGAAAACTAGTGAATATATATTTTTTTAAATAACAATACATATTAATAATGGGCAATGTTTATGAGTTCCTCTTACTCTTCCTGGGAGGCGACTTGAGCTTAGCTTCCGATTTCAGCCGTGCCCTCAACTCCCTTGCTTCTTGCAATTGGTTTTCCTTCAGCTGCGCCAGCCGCTGGCCTCCTCTTCGTCTTTTATCCGCTCCTTCTCGGTATAGTTCACTGTCCCGGATTAGTAGTAGTAATTCGCGTCGTTCCGTTGTTTCTCAGCAGCGCTAGCTTCCTCTCCACTGTTCTTATTGACATCCGGGGAAGTCACATCCATCTCCACTATCTCTTCTTCCAGCACTTCATCCGTTTCCTTTATGTCTTTATCGTTGTTCACTGACGACGCACCTCCATTAACTTTACACAATTCACATAAGCGTGCGTACTGGCACTGGTTTATTCTTCGTTCCGTTGTTTGGTTTACTTTTCTCTGTTGTTGCTGTACTGGCTGCTTCTGTTCCTTTCGCTTGGGGCAGGAGTTCATTCGATGCCCCTCCATCTCACAAAGGAAACACAAGTTTTTGTTCCCTTGGTAGAATGTGTTCCCCTTTCGATTAAGTAAATACAGTGATTTAGAAATCTCCTGATTTACGTCTATGTAAATTCCCCGTATACCTGTCAGCATATCGAGACCGACACATCTAGAAATCTCTACCGTACTACACGCTTTATAACACCGTATTTACATCACCGTAATTGTTCACGGTTGTGCAATAAGCAATGAAGGATGTATTCCTCTGCGTTGCAATTTCGTCCATTGACGGTATTTTACAGCTAACTGTGAAGCTGAAAGCACAGACAAACAGACATAACACATTGAATATTTCTCACTGTAAAACATCGTCGCTAAAACATTACCGCCATCTGTTGAGTACACTGTGGTGGGTAGTACGCTGAACAGATGGCGGTAGTGTGTAAACGTCAAACGCAAGGGTATTGACTATGCGCGCCACAGGTGGCGGTACTACCAACTACGATACTTTTAAATTGACCGTTAAATGCTTGTTCGATGAACAACTTGTGAGTGTTATGTCTGTTTGTCTGTGCTGAAAGTAACAGTCAGTTTTATTTCCATCGACATCTCCAGTTTCTTGCTTCCAAAGGGACAGCGTTCGTACCTCCACTGCCATTCCGATTTAAATTTGATGAACATCGTATTTTCCTCCGCAATGTGATATGTGGCAATCATGTTAACAGGATTCACTCCAGTGATTTGGCAAAGTTGGCTATTTTCTTCATTACAGGCTTTGGGCTGCCGTTTGGATAGGAAAAACCTAAGAGGAAGAGGAGACAATAGGGGGACTTTTATTAACCAATTTTCCGTAAACGCAAACCAGCGCCTGATTGGTCGGGCGAACGTATAGAAACGCAATAATTTTTACAACAGGGGATCTATTTTCTTGTATTTTGACAGTCGACTGCGTCTCTCATAACGAAATAGTTTTT